AATTATAAGTATTCCTATAATGGGAGAGTATGGTTGTTTTGGAAACAAACATTACAAGTAGCTGAGATTGGTATGGGTAAGCATTTTATTCAGGTAAGAGTGCAGTCTGGTACAGAATCTTGTGTGGTCACTGCCATTTATGGGCCTAACAAGACAGTTGAAAGAGTGGCTATGTATGCAGAGTTAAGGAAGTGTCTAGTGCTTAATGAGCCTGGAATTTTCATTGGTGACTTTAATGCAGTCATTGATGATTCAGAAGCTTCAAATAGACCTGTCTGGAATCAAAGTATGGGTGATTTTAGGCAATGGATCTCTTACATGAAGTTGAATGATCATAAAATGGTTGGAACTTGGTTTACCTGGTGGAACAAGCAGTCAGGCAATCCTATTACTCGAAGGATTGATCGTGCTTTGGTGAATGATCAGTGGTTGTATACTTTAAAGAATATCTTGGTTAAAACCTTGCCCCCTGGAGTCTCTAATCACTGTGGCCTGTTAGTGCATACTGATCCATTGGTTACCTCATTGCCGAAGCCTTTCAAGTTCTTTACATTCTGGAGGCATCATCCACAGTATCAGAGACGGTTAGAGGGTTTTTTTAAACATATCGCAGTGTTCTGAGATTTCTCAAAGGGCAAGGGAGGTTGAGACTAAACTTGAGATTCTTGAGCGAGTTGTGTTGGCTGATCCTTCTGAGCAACATTCTAAAGATGCTTTGGAGCAGGAAATTGTTTGCAGAAGCCTACAACAGGCTGAAGAGCAGTTTTACCGGCAGAAGTCACGAATTAGAAGAGTTACTGAAGGGGATTCTAACACAAATTATTTTCATAGTATGGTCAAAGTTCGTAATCACAGATAAACTATTCAAAAGTTGATAAATGATGATGGAGAAGTTAATATAGAAGTGAAGACGATGGGGCAACTGGCTGTAGATTTTCATAAGGGTTTGTTGGGTAGAGCTGATCCACTTGTGCAAGACATCCCTCTCTCTTTTTTCAATGACCTGCTCTCGCATAAGCTTGGTGTAGATGATGTGCAAGTCTTGAACTCTGTTATTATTAGGGAGGAAATTAAGAAAGTTTTCATGGCTATTGGAAACGATAAGGCTCCAGGGCTAGATGGCTATACTGCAGAGTTCTTTCAGCTTGACTGGGCTATTGTTGGCAGGGCGGTTGAGGTTCTTGATTTTTTCAGAACAAGAATAATGCCAAGGCATGTAAACTCTACCATACTTGCTCTCATTCCTAAGCTATCTGTAGTGGATAGAATGCAGAACTTCATGCCAATTTCGCGTTGCAATGTTGTTTACAAAGGGATCTCGAAACTGTTAGCTCATAGACTTTCCCTAATTCTACCAAAACTCATAGGGAATAGTCAATATGCTTTTGTAAGAGGGAGACTTATTAGTGACAACATTCTTATGGCAACAGAATTGGTTAAGGATTATCATAAAGCCAATATTTCATCTAGGTGTGTGTTGAAAATTGATTTGATGGAGGCATTTAATTCTGTGGATTGGAAGTTTCTTTTGAAAGTTATGACTGCTATGAACATACCCCTTAGTTTCATTAGGCTGATTGAGGCTTGTGGCATGTCTCCTATGGCGAGTGTTGCCTTCAATGGAGGACTTTGTGGCTACTTTCCAGCAGGTAAAGGGTTGAGGCAAGCGGACCATTTATCCCCCTACCTCTTCACAATTGCCATGGAGGTTTTCTCCTGTATGATAGCTAGGGATGTGCATTGTGATTTCATTCCACATCATCCTAGATGCAAAGGATTAGAAATAACACATCTTTGCTTTGCTGATGACCTTTTGGTTTTCTCCAATGGTTTAATTAGAGCTGTTGCTAGGATTAAGAGGTTACTAGACAAAATCTATCAAGTTTTTGGACTGAAAGTAATTTGGCTAAGTGTTAGTTATTTTGTGTTGGTATCTGTAAGGACGAATAAAAGTGGATCTCGGATTATATAGGGTTTCCATTGGGAGAACTACCAGTAAGGTATTTTGGGATACCTCTTTTATCTGGGAAATTATCAGCTCAGGATTGTAGTATCTTGGTGGAGAGAATTACTAAACGAATCACATCCTAGCAAGCAAAAATGCTTAGTTATGCTAGGAGGTTGCAGTTAATATCTTCAGTAATAACTAGTGTTTTTCCATACAGGATGTATGTTTTCCTGCTGCCACTGAAGGTTCTATGGGGTGTTGGTTCAGACACTGGGAGAAAACGAGCACCAATAGCATGGTCAAGAGTTGCTTTGTTAAAACAAGAAGGGGGTTTGGGGATCAGGGATATTAAGACATGGAACAAAGTTTGCATTATTCGATATCTTTGGAACTTGCTTGCTGAGGCAGGGTCATTATGGGTTGCTTGCGTGCAGAAATACAGAATCAAAGGAAAGGACATTTGGACCCTTTCTGCCAGCTTAGTAAGTTCATAGGTGTGGAAGAAAGTTCTCAAGTGTAGATTGCATGCTCAGTCTCACATTACAGGGGCTGGTAACAGTCTTGCTTGTGATGGAAATGTATTGCTTAAATACTATGTCAAAACGATCTGGTCTTCTATCCGAAGTCCCTCTCCTCCTGTTGATTGGTATTTTGTTATATGGGGGAAACCTTTTATCTCAAAGCATAGTCTACTATTATGGTTGATTATCCTTGATAGATTTGTTACTAAGGATAAGCTTATCAGTTGGGGATTATCCTATGATCATTGTTGTGTGCTTTGTACTGGAGGGTTTGAAAGCAGAGATCATCTGTTTAGTGCTTGTTCTTATAGTAATGCAGTGTTACAGATAGTGCTCAAGAAAATTTGCAAATGGCCCTTTTTCCAGGATTGGCAATCCCAGTTAAGCTGAGTGACTCAAAGGTGGTCGAGTACTGATTCGAAGGCAAAAGTTGGCAGGCTTTTGTGGACAATGAGTTGTGCATACATATGGAGATAACGTTGTACTCGGATATATGGTGCTCGGTGTATTTCTGACCCTTTCCAAGTCTCAGCCAAAGTAATGCAAGAGCTCCAAATTTATTCTAGTAGTATTGCCCTACAACAGATGGTTATAGGAGTTCTGGGATTATAGAGAAGCAGTTTTTTGTTTTTGTTCCTCTTAGTATAGAATTGATTGAGATTGTAATGAGTTGATACTTTGAGAGGGAGGTTGCGAGTTGCACCTCCCCGGACTTCAATACTATTTTGATTAACCATATAAAAAAAACAACAAATAATGATTGTAAAATGTGGAAACTAAAATCCAAAAACTAATAAAAGACTCGTATAATAATTTTGAATGAAGAATGAAGTGACGTTGCTAAAACACTTACAATGCTAAACAGGAGCCAACAACTTTTATTTTCTACTAATCCTAAACAGCCTAAAATCCGTCCAAGCAAAGGAAAGGTACGATCGAGAATCCGACATCCCATACAGCTTCCATTCCATTCCATTCCAACGATCTCTGACATACATCTGGTTTGCTCGTTATTCGTTAGAGTGTATACAAGATGGGAATGTAATTTTTGATATATTTTGGATGGTTATGTGCAATTTGTAGTATAGGAATTAATGCAGTATTTTGGTCTTGGTATATAAAGTTGCACAGTGAACCAAAACTCTTGTTCGTTTTCTTCTCTATGAATCAAAGTTGGTTGTTTTTTCGCAAAGCTCTTTCTCTGAATCTGACGTGGTCGTTCTTGAAGTTTTCTTCATTTTCTGTTCTTATCTTTAGTTCGCAACTCTTTGATTTCAATGGCGGGTCAACAAGCACCTCTGATTAGACTCCCTCAAAACATATTCTGGAAACCCAAACCACAAAAATAAGTAACGAAATTTCAATCACAGGGTATTTCTTCAACCCTTATCTAAAAGGGAGATGATCATAATGGCTAATATAATCCGTCGCTCTTCCCTGTCAAAGCCTTCATATGCTCTCCTCTTGTTCGTTGAAGTTTTCCTCGTCAAAGCCTTCGGATTAAATCCTTGGCCGTCGAAGTTTTCTTGTGGGAGATGGAGTGTCTGAGGGAGGGAGGGAGTGGAAGAGAAGAGAGAAAGATAGAAACCTCTCTCTCTCTCTCTCTCTCTCTCAGCCCTGAACGTTTGAACATATGCTCATGAAAATGGCTATGAGCACTATAACCGGTTGAATGAAACCAAGCCAACCTTTCAACCCATTAATTTTTAACTTCGGCCTGGTTTTGTGTTACACTTAGGGATGGCAATGGGGCGGGTTTGGGGCGGGTTTGTCTAAACCATCCTCATCCCCATCTTCAAATACCCAAACCCATGCCCGCCCCATACCCATGCGGGGGAATGTTTTGCAAACCCATCCCCATACCCGTGGGTTTCGGGTACCCATGGGTAATACCCGTACCCATACATCCAACATTATTATACCTAAAACTTACAAGAAAAGTTTTAATTATAACTCTAAACGAACCTATTATATCATGAAGTCAACAAAACACGGTCATTTTCTTAATACGGTTCAACGTATATGATCCTAAAACATCCATTAATACATAATATATAGTATAATATTTTTCAAATTATTATCTTCTAACTCTTGTACATCTACTAAGTAATAATTAACTAACATAATCTTGTAGACAAGGGGAAAAGTGAAAGAGTGAAAGGAGAATTGAGGGAAATGAATTAGATTTTGATTAAAATGGTCACTCAATTGCATTTCTACTATTTACTTCCTTGAGTTATCCTCATTACCATTGATAGATTACAATTTAATCCACATATTTTTTTATATGTGAATAAATTCTCTTGGTGGGGCAGGTATGGGTATGGGTATGAGGTAGGGGAGGTCAAAACCATACCCGCCCCATACCCATCAAACTTTTTGCGGGTTTTACCCATACCCGGTCAAAACGGGGATTCCCCGCGTTGACTGGGTCGGGGGCGGTCGGATACCCGCGGCCATGGGTTTTATTGCCATCCCTAGTTACACTTGCACACTTTGATCTGGTTCTGGTTTGAGTTTTTGTATCTTACGTTGATTTGAACCGCACATTTATTTCAGTTGAATCTAAACAAGTAAACTACAAAATTGAGTGTTGCAAGAAGCTACGGGACTCTGTTGCCATGTCGACGAATCCAGGAAAAAATAGAGCTTTAAGCAAGGTGCAGCTGTTGCCATGTCGACGGATTGAAAAATCATACTCACCTCACCTGACCCTAACTTCATTTCATGTCTAATATACAAAGACTATAGTGTAATATATGCTGCTGCTACAACTCTTACAATTACTGCGCGGCCTACTAAAGGAGTTTGTGGCAGGTGCCGACCCCAACAGCTGCAGCAAGATGCCAACCAGCATGAAGAAATGGTGCCTGGGGGAACAGATCGTCGGCAATGAAGAGAGCACCTCCCAACAAGGAAGACATCTTATGCATGGTGTGTATGTTCCTTAACTCTGGATCTTCTAATGCTCTTTTAGCAAATGCCACCTGCAGAAGCAAATTACAGCACAAGGAAACCACACATTAAATGCCATTTGCATATGTAAGAAAACACATTAAAAGCCAATACGATTTTCATCCACCTCCATCATTCCTGTGTGGACTGCAGATACCATCAGCGGCTGGATAGGCAGTAATACTGCAGATGCTGCCATCAACAGCTTCGGGTTCTCATTTCTCAAGGCTCTTGATAGACACTGCATAACACAATGCTTTTTGTAAGTTTCCGACTTCATCGAGCCAAGGAAGTTCACAGAAACTTCAGACCTATTTAAGGATTACAGCAAATGCTCAACTTACGAAGGAAGTTATGGAAACGAAAAAGGGAGGAAGGGGGATGAAATCCCAGCAACAGCTATGTACTATACTGATAGGTAATGGTTGTAGTTTCACGCCATGCTGAGCTGGATATTAAATAGATGACACACAAGTGAATATAACATTCAATTAGCCATTCTTTCCCCATTTCTTAAGCCCAACCCATATTTGTTTTTATAATCCACATGTTTCAATCTAGCATATGCATACTGCATAGTAGTCTTGTAACCAAAATTGTGTACATAGAATAATGCGGAATCCAAGCAATCTTATTACAAATTCAAATTTACAATCTGGGTTCAAAATTGCAGCAATCTATGCATTCGTATTTAAAAGAACTTCATGAAAACCCCACCAAAACAAGCACAAAGATGAGCCTATCCGATATATAACTAGTAGAACTTGTAACAGAATATCCTACTGAAAACCTTCTCATGCGCAAGTATTTAATTGGTAGAAGAAACATGTTTTTCTCGGCTCCACATCAGCTAATTCAACAGCTTATGATTATACAAACACAGGAAAGGCACAGTTAATTGAACTTACCACAGTGGTAGCTGCTATCATTGCATAGTCAAGCCACCTCAAGTACTTCCTAACTTCTCCCCTTGAGGAGTGATACAAGCTTGATGTGATTCCAACCCCGATTAACGAGTTAGCATACAGTTTGGTATTTAGATCCTTTCTGCAAATGATAAGAGCAAGAAGAAATCAGACACTGAATATGCAACGAACTTCAATGATAAAAATGGAAACCGTGGACTATACTTCTACCTTGGAGCCTGCATACCAAGAGCAACAAATGGAAGTGATGTTAACACATTAGCAACCGTTTCTGAGAAGTTATCACCTAATGAAGCACAATGCAGCAGAGGTCATATCAAACAACTCCACTAAGGATACCGAAAACTTCAAAAGGGCATTGCTCTTAAATAGATACCGTGAACGCAACACTTGATAGGCCGCAAACATCCTGGCCTTTGCTCCCATAATTTCCTGGTTGGTCACAAATAAAATCTCAATGATCCATCGACTATTTACAAACCTAGTCAACAGCAGAATGAAACCATTTTGTACATCTAATGTTCTGTTTGTTCTAAACATAATATCCAAGCTTACCAGAATAATGATGGCTGATCTGCTCTATTAGATGAACTTTCACAGTGCGATTGAGGGAACCCCTCTTGTCGAGTAATCACCTCCAAATGGAAAGGTGATTGGGGTACAACATGAATCCCATGTACACATTGCAAGGCTTTTCTAGAATTTGAAGTGTCATTGGGACTCATTAGACAATCTCTCTTTTATTGCCAGCAAATTCTGCTGGCAATAAATTGGGAGAAAGGGAACAATATCTTGCTGGAAAGAAACAAAACATACGGTCAACTTTCTGGGAGAGGCAGGTATCCAAAGAATGTTCAACTATCAAAATTCAAAAAACACATTATATCACAGTGCAAAAAATAAGACAGAAATCAGCTTATAAAGCCAGATAACTTCTTTTCACCATTGGCCATCCATGAGAACCTAGAGGTCCATTAGCAGTTCGTGAGAACTCGCCACGTATTTGAGCGATAAGCTACCGAACCCATAACTACATTAAGCTTACCCTAACAAAAGAAGCAAACCCAGAAGTAATTTTGCTTGCATGTCCCAACTTTCAAGAACAACAAACAAATGGGAAAACCCCAAAAAAGTAACAAAATCAGATGAAAATCAAGCCTCTGACTCGAACAGGTTCCCACAACATTTACTAAAAAAAGAAGAGGAACGACTGCAACTTTGCAAGAACAATGCATTGCAAAGAAGAGTTACACGGGAAGCTCAGGAAATCAAATTGCTTCGAAACGAAGCTGTGAGAACTGGTCAGCATATTGAGAGGGAGGATGAAGAGGAGGAAGGATTTTTACCTGGGAATGGCAAGAGTCGTGGTCTTGCCCTTGGAAGAGAGAAAATTACAAGTGAGGGGAATGCAGGATTAATATTTGAGGAGGACGGAGTGGAAAGTTGAGGAGTTCATGGTTTGGATTTTAGGGAAATTGTGACTTATGGTGGGGAGCACAAAAGAATATGAGAGGGGGAGATGCTTGGTGCTCTCGCAAAGACTTGTACGAATCTTCCTCCCAAGGCCAATCCCATCCAACATTGGAGTCGGCCGCATATTCCAACCCCAATAGAGATAAATGACGTAAAGTCTCCTCTTCTCAACATGGGCCTATATTCCTCAGGTCAGGGCCCAAAAAGAAAACGCTTCGAGGTTACCCAGCTGTTTAAATGGTAGGATATTTTGTGGTATGATTATGGTTCAATCCTTTTATATTGGTAAAATAATATTTTTTTAGATAAAAAAGATTGGGACATCCTGCAGTAAGTTGGGTATAATTTCAAGTAAGGTAACTTACATATATCTAAATCGCTAAAATCAATCAAACATATTTTAAACTATTGATTAAAGAAATAAAAAATAAATGACAAAAGGGGTTGCCGGTCACCACCTTTGTAATTTACCCTTTTTTTGTTTTTTCTTTCCTTTTTCACATTAAGGTGGTTTCCTTATTTTAACCTTTTCTTTTTTTAATTCTTATTGAATTAGAAGTGTTACGTAAATTTTCCGTGATAACTTAGCTCTTTACGTAACACGACATTAATACTCATTACGTAAAGAGATCTCCATTAAGTAAGGATTCCATAATGACATTTTACAACTGTTACATAAAATATACATTCATTACGTAAAGGCTACAGAATGATAGTTATTTCTTACGTAACAGTTAAATCGGAAGTGTTACGTAAGGCTTTCGTAATGACTTAACACTTTACGTAACGTGAGGTTAATACTCATTACGTAAAAAGACCTTCCATTACGTAAAGATTACGTAACGACAGTTATTTCTTACGTAATAGTTAAATCAGTAGTGTTACATAAGGCTTCCGTAATGACTTAACATTTTACGTAACACGAGGTTAATACTCATTACTTAAAGACACTATCTATTATGTAAGGCTTCCGTAAGGATCTTTTACAACTATTACGTAAGATTACCATATGTTACGTAACCATTACGTAATCCCCTATTGTATTTTACGTAATGCGACCTGTGAAACCTGCTATAGCATGTAAAAAAATTTAAGTTACCTTATTTCATGTTACTGTAGGAAATTCAAAAAAAAAAAATTGTCAAAAAATCACACCAACAAAATCAAGATACCGTTGACACCTAAAATTATTTTAGATTGAATTCAATTTCGCATTAATTAGTCTCGGCATTTAATTCGATATCGCATGACGAAAAACGGTGTCGTTTGGAGTCGAGCAAAATCGCGGAGAGTTTAAACGACACCGCAAGGAAGCTCGACAGTGCCGCGGTACTTGAAACAACATTGTTTAGTAGAAAACAATGTCGTGAGCTATGGTTCGGCTTTGCAATATTGGTGTTAGGATTGGAAAAAGAGTGCTCTCTATTCCATACCGAAGAAGGAGAGGATTCGGCCTAGATTGCATGGGTGCGTGACCAACACCAGTGTGGAATTAGAAACGGCGTTGTTTAGTAAAATAAACAACACCGAGAAGTCAAACCCAAACGACACTGTTATTGATATGATCCTAATTCGAGAATCCTCCCAAATCGGACCAAAAACCAGAGTTGCACACGTCGAACTTTTTAGGGGTTTTCTGCTTTTTTGAATAACACGAAATAAAGATACTTGCGGAATCGATCAAACAAATCCGAACTCGTGAGAAGGGCCAGAAGGTATATGAAACCTTCCAAACAATCTCGAACCCGTGGAAGAGGCCAACCGATATTGTCGATGCTCGCCACAACTAGACGCGTTCTCTAGTTGATAAGAGACCACTCAAACCTCCCGAATCCTCAAAGGAGCGAATAAGCAAAACTTTCACTTGAACTTGTAAACACTTGTATTTGATTGCTGAAAACTTGAATATTGGGTACAAAATTCGTAGGTCTTACATCTTCTATTTATAGATGTCACAAAAACATAAAACTAACCTAAAAGGAATAGGAAGACAAATCCCAAACTAAATAGGAAACATAATACTACTTAAATAAATAATAAAAACTACTAAATAACTCTCTAAATGCTGCTGGCGCACACATGCTTCCTTCTTCTATTCCGTAGCGATTGCGGAATCCTTCTCCGTTGCGGAATGGGCCACCTCCTTCACGAATTGCATCACATGGGAGGCACGCCAGATGGGTTTTGTTATTGTGTCTTTTTTCCTTCCAAATTCAAATAACCACAATAACTAATTAATGAAACAAACCCATGCTTTGGCCATGTACGTCCAGATTTGAATTGGAATAATTGAGCCACATGAACGAATAAATAATCCATGTGCTAATTGTTCCATGCAAACTCCAATGTATGCAGAACGCCACTTTATACCCACGCAGCGCCATTTATCCATTAAGCATGCTCCCAATTGATTCTTATATCGTTGAATCTGAATCTTCATCTTTGGACCACGGGAATTAAATATCGTGCTAGTCGATATCGCATCAGTTATACTATGAAACGACATTGTTTATTATAAAGCAATGTCATGAGCTATTGGGCACTTATGTACGTTGATAGGATGGCCGTTTAGTTATCCAAACTTGGTCATGTATATGTCACTTATTGAAAGTGTAGCGAGATTAAAAGCACGATAGTGTTTAGTGAAAACAATGTCGCGAGTTTGGTGAAATTGATGACTGGGGTTGGAGGGTCGAGCAATTCAATATCGCCTTGAAGTTTCAAGCTTGACGCGAAATCGAACAGTGTCGTAGAATAGAGAAAGACACTATTTAATGAAAAGCCACATTGAGTCTTGGTACGGGGTTGTGAATTCGACAAGGCCAATAGCGTCGTGTAAGGAGAATAAAAAATCATAGTGATGAATATTTGGACGACGTAGCGATGAAGCGGTGTCGTTTAGGTAAGAAAGACGTTGCGAGCTCAGCAATGATGTGAGATCAACGATGATGCGAGTCTCGACGGTGTTGTGTAGTCAACGACGTCGGGAGATCAACAATCTAACAGTGAGTATGCGGTGGAGAGGGTGATACAACAATGTTGTTTAAATCGATGGCGGTTGTGATTCGAACCGTGGTACAAAGTTGATGTGTGTGCACGTGACTTTTACGCAAAGAAGATTGGAGAACGAATGCGAAGCAGTTGAAGACTACAACTTCGGGAAGAAGGATGGAGCACGTGGGAGTTCACGACGGAGCAGTTGAGGAAGTGGTTCCATGGAGTGTGAAGGCTATGCAAGTGATTTCAAATAAAATCACTAGAGCAAGGAGAGAGAAAGACAACCAGAAATCAACACAAAAAATCACTCTGATTCAACTTTATCTTTTCTCTGTAACTCCTTCGGGGAGCTCTCCTTCCAGAAAGGATCTCAATAGTTGTAGTTGTAGCGTAGTCGCGGAGCTCTCCACAGGAATCTCCATAGGAGTAGCAGTAACGTAGATTTCCAAAAACTCAAACACCCTCGTTCGAAAATTGTTTGAAGAGGTGTGAACCGTAGTAATGATCGCATTGGTTAGAAGTCAAAGGTGCAGCGATCAAATCAACATCGCCCGGCGGTGGATATTTGACGGTCGTCTTGATTTCAGCAGTCACTGGTGCGTCCGATCAAACGACACTGCAAAGGTTTCCACATCGAAATAATCAAATCAACACCGCCCGAAACCATTCGGTACCGACGGTGGTATTTGGTTTTCCGGGAAAACAGATACAGTTCCAAAGTAATACCAGAATAAAACTGGAATGTAACGGGTAACAAACCTGAATATGCTAAGACTTGCATTTGTAAGAAACTTAATTTGGCTTGCACATAGTCAAGCATTAGCCACTGGCCATGTAAAAACGAGGATGTTCCCTCTTGATAATTCAAAATCCAAGCACGGAGGCCTAGGTGGTGGGGGATAAATTGACTCGGTCGTTGCTGCAACGTCCGGTGAGTTTTGACCCTTTCATGCAAAAGATTCATCTAAACCCTGGTTCAAAGCGAGTCTCCATTAGCCAACTAGCCAATGAAACCTCCAAATGAGGAGTTCTAAGGCCCCAAGCAGACGAATTCTCCATTAAAGAAGAAAGAGGCAGGAGAAGACGTAGAACAGGATGAGAGAGAGTGCTCTTTAAATGAACCAATCGGATTGAAGGTCCCGGCAACCGCCATAGCTAGCTTAAAGTTGAGAACTCAACAAAAGGGAGGAGAAGGTAGAAGGAGAGTCTGTTTGCGGTTTCAGAGAAGAACAAGAGAGAATGGACGATGAATGAGGAAGGTGGCTAAGGATTGAAAATGCTAGGGTTTGCATCACATTTGGGTTTATATATCTCAATGTCAAAATTTCCTCGAATACTTTATGAAAATTACTTATTTCTAGAGTCTCCCATCCTCACTGTTTGGTCGAACCAAAATCAGGAGGTATATTGCACTTTTCTGGTTTGGCCTTAAAAATCGACCGACACACTCAAGTGACGCATTCGGTTATACTGTTCCAGATGTGGCATGTTTCTAGTTTTTCGGTTTGACCAGCCGGTCTAGTGCGGTATCACAATCCATGTGATGTTCAAGTATTTACTATGTGTCCGCTACACTTTTGAAAAAGGATAATTTGCCTTTTTCTTATTTTAAAAATCCTGAACACAACCTGACTCTCTAATTCAACAACTGCTACCTTTCATATCCCAACCCCACAATGCTGACCCGTCGTAGAAAAAAGTCAAATTTACATAATAGGTAACCCAGATCTTATTTTCTTTGGGCCTCTCACTTCTCCATATCAGTAAGGGACTTGCTCTGTGAGTTTAAAACGTATTGTGGAGGTTGAGATACCAATAGGGTTGAGGTTCTTCTTGGCTCTTTGCTAAAAATGAAATTGATATGAAATGAGGGAAGAAACTAACTACATAACGAGGGAACAACATAAGGGTGTTGCATGGACAAGTTTTCTCTAGAGTTACTTTAGACTCGCTTTGCTATGATATTAGTTATACACATATGTGGTTGAGTAAATCCACAATGGATTCCTCCACTCACTATGCTCACGTTTCCTGCCTTTCTCACACGATGACCTAGTCTTGTGTTCCGCGCTAGATAGACACTTGGGAACATCGACATACATGTTGCTTGTGTT